GTATTAGTGATCTTGATTATATTGGTGATACTTTGTTAGAAATGGAATCCCGTAATTGGTTTACTTTTTTCATTTGATTTCAATACACAATGATCAACATGCGGGATTTGGCTCTCTTGACAAGGTTTCCTAAGTATTTGTCAGCTGATTGGCGCGCGCTAGTGTACTGGAATAACCTTGAACACTAGAGTGAACCAATCATGCATGAGAGTTATTTTCAAATTTTGTTATTTTGTAATTATTAACAGCATGAATCATACAAAGGCAAATAGAAGAGTCAGCGTTATGTCATTTGATTGTATTGTTGTCATGGTTATCACGCTGTCAATCAAGCACTGTCAGACAAGTAAGTAGAACTGTGAAATAAAGTAATAGTGGATAAATCTATCTAGAAATTGTAGTTTCGTAAAATATGTGAGACTTATAAACCTTAAAGGTCTTATATTTGCACAAGGGCGTGTTCAGAGGTTTTATGATGGGAAAAGTAGACTGGAGAAGGAGTCCAGCTTTTTGGATATTTTTTTCCTTTTTGGAAAAAAGGGACGGGAAAAGAATATTGCATGCTGACTAATCAAATTGTGGTTTCAAGACTATGTAGAAGAGTGTGATTGACTGGGAAATAGTGTTGTTTTAGGTACTGACATCGAACAAGCTTTTGGACAATCGGAAAATCTGTTAGCCTATCTATTCGTCAAATATAGCTCATATTTCAAGGAAGCAAGAGGTGAAGGGGTTCTAAAACCTCTGGAGTCCCCCACCCACCCTAAACCTAACCTTAACCCTACCCAACGCGCCCTTGCACACGACTCCTGCATCAGTCTAACTAGCTACCTATTAGTGCCTTTAGGCCTACTCTTAGTCCCTGAGACCTCGTGTTCTAATTGTTATAACAGAACAGCCGGCCAGAAAGCCTTGCGTATTTTAGTTGTTATTTTAAGTCTTTTTGAAATTCCTTTAAAGATCAATAATGTTAATTGAACTGAGTGGAGTGCAATTTTGTCTGAAATCAAACGCGCGATTACCAAATCGCCTGACCGCGAAGCGAGATCATAGTGCGATTTGTAATAGCAAGATTGATTTCAGACCGAAGTTGCACCGCCATAAAGACAGGTGCTTATTAAGGCTGAAATCAACCTGTTAAGGCTGCGTTCATAATGTATACCGCATAATTTTCAACACCCCCAAGCAAAAATTAAAAAATCCCCCCCCACAACAAAACTATAGAAGTTTGTATGTGACAATATGTGTAGTGTGTTACAATAAGGTCTATTTTTATTAATTTACCTATGCAAGGCAGTCTTTATACCTCGTACAAAGCCTACACTGTCTTTCAGATCGAGAAGTAAATGCGGATTCTTGATATACCCAAGGCACATTCATCTCATCAGACTCGTCTTCACTTAATTCTTCATGGGAATCTTGAACCATCTTCTGATTCACTTCCAAAGACAGAAAGTATTTTGTCCTCACTATCATCATCTTCACTATCTTCCTCATCATCTTCACTATCTTCCCTCATCATCTTCTCCTATCTCTGTTTCCTCTTACTGTTGGTCATTTTGGGAAATGCTGTGATACTGTGAATGCATGTTGGAGCCGTCAGTTGAAAAGCTGATATTTAACAATTAGACCTCGAGGTCGAGTGGACTACGAGCTAATATAGCCCATGAGGCCGAGTCCGCGAGGCCGAATGGGCTATTAGCTCGTAGTCCACGAGGCCGAGAGGTCTAATTGTTTTAGTATAAACATACTAATCGGTCAAATAATGAAAACAAATTGAAATATCCTTAAAATAATTTATAATTTATAATTCATTTATTTATTGATTTTCCCGCGAGTGGTCTATCACAAATTAGACCATTAGTAGAGTAGCCAATCACAGCGCAGTATGAGTGATAGACCATTAGCATGTTTATACTAAGCGCCATTATCCGAGTAATTTTGTCTTTCTTCAGACTTTTAATGATAATTGATGGTAGGTTAAATATTTTTCAGGTTCTTTAACAGGTAGTTTCTTTAAAGTGTCGTGAGATGAGAATAACTCTATCCAGTCATAATCTTCGTGTGTTTTGTTCTTTACTTCGAAATTA